AACCTTCGGTATTCTATGACTCTGTGATTCTATGATTCTAGGGATTTTGGCTTGGATTCTACCTGTGGAACTGATTGGGAGAAACCCTCCCCTGAAAGCTTTTGGAACGTGCTCTGAGGTCACCTGTGAGAACATCCCGATTTTAACAACCTGAATTTGTTGCAGGTACTCAGAGCGAAGCCTCACAAAGTGCATTGGGATAACGATAGAGACCAGGCCGGATTACTGCCTCAAGCGGCACCTAAGTGACATGCTGTCCTAYGGCTGCACCAGGCTGGAGATCGGCGTGCAGAGCGTGTACGAGGACGTGGCCAGGGACACCAACAGGTAAGAAGACACCTTCCACATGGAGCTGAATGAAGCTGCTCGCYGTTTAGTTTGTAGAGCGCTGCAGAGCAGCCGTGTGGCTTGACCTGCTCCTTTGAACACCCCTTTAGCTTTGACCATTTAACTTGTTTCGCTTGTGTGGCCGTGTGTCTGTTGAGAAGTAATAAAGCGTGAAGGCTTTATGGGCAGCGCTGGGTTGTTGGGCAGACCATGGCTTAAGAAACCAGATTTGTGATATTTTGTTTTAAGCTGCTGTTCTGCTACTGTATTGTTTGGTTTTTTTTTTCATTGCTTCATAAATATATGCAGTATTGTGAGGTAGGAAGCGTGCTCGGGGAGAGCTCGTCGTTCTTGTCCTACATAATTCATAGCGTGTGGCCTGGAGTAGCTGCGGCGCGGGCTCCTGGAGGCACTTCACAAGCTAACAGCATGTTCTCTCCAGCAGCTCCGTTTCTCTGCCGAGTGGCAGAGAGATGACGCTTGGCAAGGGCAGCGCGCGAGACGGCCAGAAACGAGACCTGCTGAGAGATTAACCAGAGCCGGTGGTTCCAAGCGTTGTAAAAACACATTCAGGAGAAGTCTCCGCCTTATTCCTCGTCATCCCGGAGCTGTGGCCAGAACACTTGTTCTGCAAGGCAGCATGTGCAACGTGGCTTGCTTGCCTGTAAGGGGTGGGAAGAACAGTCTTTTTTTGTCATTGCAATTGTGATAATTCCCTTAGCAATTGGATGAGGTGACTTTTCTCATGTTTGTCTTCTCATTTCTGACACACATACAACCTGCCTTCGCTCTTGCTTCACATTCCAGTCACCTACGAAAGACGCTTAATAGCCACAATCATAAATGATGACAGGGAATCACGAGGAAGGTTCAGTAAGCAAAGCACACTTCTGTTAATGCCTCCCTTAAAGGYAGTAGTGCAAAACGGAACATTTTCTTCTGGAAATCCAAAGAAAGGATCCCGAATTAGATTCCTCCTGCGGCTTTAGCTGTAGTGCTGCTGGTGCATGCAAGTGCAGGATGGCCCCGCTGTGCCGTGGCCACGCTCCAGGTCTCAGCAGACAGGGAGAACCATTCATGGAGCAGTCGGAGARCTAAGGATAAGGGGCGGCACTTCCATCCTCTAGATGTCAGAGCTTTGCAAAGGAAAAGATCCATACTAAGGAACGTAGCTACATCTTGCTCCTGGACCGAATGTATTCACTAATAGCMAAGTCCGACACAGGTTATAAACTTAAATCATTTTTAATCTTTTTCCAGCTTTTAATTATTTTTTTACAAGCTTCTCTGGAAGCGGGAGTGTGAAGCCCCACTTAGCTGTCACCTCCGCAGTCGTCTCCGTTTTTCCCCCTCCAGCTTATCCGTGAGATCGGAGCTGCCGTCACAAATTATTCCAAGCTCTGTGTCGCTCCTGGCTTGGAAGTTTCTCTTGCCACCTTGCTTTCCTGCTGGTGAACCAGAAGAAGGAAGTAGTACACGACTGACTTGATTTCCCCAAGAAGCGATCCTTTATCGAACTATGTGTATATATGYATTTTTTTTCAAGGWTTTGGCACTTTGCAAAGCTACTTGCTGGATTCTTACAAGCCCGGGCTGCAGGAATCCCTGGCTCTTTTGCAGCAGGCTCTTAGCTCACTCTCCTCCTTTGCAGAGCAGGGAATTGGAATGTGCGTCTAGAGGAGGGTGATGCAAGTTGCTGCCTTCCCAAACGACCTCGCTTTGCTTCCAGTGCTGTCACTTTGTGGGGGAGGTGTTGTGCTTCAAACTTTTAACATTTAGCTTGTAGCAAAATGTCAGATTACAACCAATTAGGCTAACTGTTTGGAAATTACTTTCTATTATGTTCCATAAGTCATTAGTGAGGTTTTTTGAGTGCTTTGGGTGGCTGTGAGGCAGAAAAATATTCAAGAACAGATCTCAGCATCAAATAATCGAGTTATTGATGCAGCTCAGATTGTACTTCTAGTATGAAAATAATTTTTATTTATGAAGCAAGTCTCCATTTGCTCCCCTCAGGCTACTCAGGGTCTTGAGTAATACTGTCCTTGAACAGTCTTATAAAAACACCATAACATTCCCCCCCAAAAGTCATAAATAAAACTGTAGCCATAAAACTGCATGTAGAGGTTTAACAGCAGCGGAATGTTTGAGCAGAGAGGGAGGAAGAGCTCCTTAAAATAAGGAGGGAAGGTGTCTGGGTTGGTTAGCATTGAGTGGAGACTTTGTAGAGATGGCCTGGATGGAGTTTGGTATCTAGAGGCCCAATGAGGAGAAGCAGGGCCTGAGCTGCTGATAAGGGAACCCAAAAAACAAGGAAAACTGGAGCACARCTTGCAAGGGGAGGAAGAAAGTGGGGAGGAAAGATGGGAGCAGACCCCGGGGGACCAGAAATGGGGTTCCCAGGCTGCCAGGGAGATGCTGGGAAGAGCAAAAGCAGAGGCTTGCAGGAGGACTCGTCACACGCGACGGGGGCAGCTGGTACCTGCAGAGGGTGGAGAGACGGGAGCCAAGTGAGGAGTTTGCTGGAGACTGGTCAGAGAGGGGAGATTCCGCCTTTCCTCCTACAATCCTTGACTGCAGAGTGATTTTTCTTCTAGCTGGCTGATTTTGTATAGCTGCCGTCCACGTTGGCACCTCCAAATTTGCCGTGGGGTGCCCCGCTCAGCTCCGGCGCGCTCGGGCCCCGGGTCCTAACCCCGTTTCTCCTCTTGGCAGAGGTCACACCGTGAAGGCCGTGTGCGAGTCCTTCCACCTGGCCAAGGACGCCGGCTTCAAAGTGGTCGCGCACATGATGCCCGATCTGCCCAACGTGGGCCTCGAAAGGGACATCGACCAGTTTGTCGTGAGTACGACTTAAAATACCCGGGAGTTTGGGGGATGTTCCGGTTTATCCAATGCTGCTTCCCTTTCTTAGCTTGCCTGTTAGGCACAATACAGGCTGGGATGTTTTCTTAAGGACAAATAATTTAAAATTCCCATTTTGAAGGAGCCGGGTAAGAAAGATTTGTTGAACTACTTCATCCAGAAAATTATATCCTTGCCTCATGAAAGACTGAGTCACTCGGGTCTCTGTGGGATTTAGCTCTTCCGATATTAACTGGGGCTCTTACTTTTTTCCAAGGTGGTTTTTTTCCCATGGATTTAGAGCCATATACGTTTCAAAGGTAAAAGCATACATCTCAAAGGCAATTAATTGCAAAGTAGGGTATGTGTGTGCGTTATATAGCGGCTGTGTTCCTGACTCAGTGCTATTCAACATCTTTATCAATGATGTGGGAGAAAATACAAAATTATTTTCGAGAGAAAYGGAGATGAGGAATAAAGCGCACGCAGCAAATAGGATAAGGAATTACCCGTTAATGCCAAAATTTGTCGTCTTTTCAAGACAGAYGATGCAGAAATTAGTGTCCTGACACAGGAATCACAGGTGTATTTGCATGCAAGGTCAGACAAGGTGGTTGTAGTGGGGCTTTCTGGCGTGAAAAGCTATCGATGTGCGGGAATATTTCAGTTAGAAATATTGAAATATTAGGAGATGTTGGAAATAGGTGTGTTTTTTTATCTCAGAATTTTGCCAACCTGTAAGWAAAACTAATACAAAATGAAGATACGCAGTACAGAAAGCAAACTGAAACTAGCTAATTTCTAGAAGAGATTTTATGCAAAATTCTGTGAGCCCTTCATAATGTCACAGTGCTTAGTAAACACCATATTAATGTGGCAAACTAGAGATGAAATGGGTGACAGAGCTGAAACTTAGCTCAAATGTCCTGACCCAGGCTCTGTTGCTCTTGAATTATTTTCTTATAATGCTGAGGAAGATAAAGAATGACAGTGGACATCAAATTAGCCATGTTCTCATATAATTACTTGTGCTGCAGGGTAAGGCAGAACCTGGGTCCTCTACTGGGTACGTGGTGGAGTGGTAGCTCTAAACCTGGATTCTTTATGGGCCTGTCTGCATGGAAGCAGTATTAGGCTGGAAAGGATTTATGATGGCAAGAGAGTGGTAGTGACTTYGAGATTTAAAGCTCTGACCTTGGATACGGCCCCCCMAAAAAAAAAGGAAAATAAAAGGAAAGTAACGTGAAGTTTTTGCAAGATGCAAAAATGAAGAGGGAGGAATTACATAAGGACAGAATTATAAGCTGCTGGGGAAGGTTTAGTGATTTTTATACTTCACTAGCCATGATGAATGGCTAAGGCTTTTTACTCATAGACTCTAGAGTTTCGTTGTGGGAGGTTTTGGGAGGCTCTGGAAGAAGTTTTCCAGCAGTCTGTTTAAAAGCTGTGACTTCAGGTGGTGCTGAACTGCCTCTGGGTTCAGCAGAGACTTTTCTTGCTTGTTAGGGGGCTGGTAGTGCCATGCTGTATTTTGTCCATTTAGTGTTGTCAGTTCTGGCAGAAACAGAAGAGCCAGAAAGCAAAATACTTTAAAAGAGGAGACAAAAATGTGGTGAGATGCTGGAGTTTGGCAAGGCTGGGGATTGAATTAAACAAAATCTGGGAAAATAGACTGTAGCAAGGAAACAAAGAAAATAGAGTAGAAAAAGTCAAAACCTGTCTCGAATATTTCTATGAGAAGTGTCACAGCTTTCGGAGCTGGGAAAACCAGTACTGACAGAGCAGCAGCTCTGGGACGTGGCGGGAGGGAATTTACACTTTGTGATGGGAAGGATGAGAAAATTGACAGTAGATGAGAATGAGACCTGGAGAGAATTAAGGTGTCTTTCAGTGGAGAAAAAGGAGGGGGAAAGATCAGATGAGGGTTGTGGGTTGGAGTGGGCAAAAAGGCTACATAGAGGGCTGGGAAGGAGAAGTGGTGAAGTGGTTGAAAAAGGAAAATAGATGATGGTTTAAGAGGGCGATTCGAGAATAGAGAGGGTGATGCCAGAAGACCAGCTCAGGTGACAGCTGCGTTGATGAGTTAGGACATTTCAAGCTGGATTCGCCGATCAAATTAAGATTTGCTGCCAGTAAACAGGCAGATAAGGAGCTGGAGGATGAGTAATCGATGTGGGGCCTTCARGAAGCTGATTTTGTGGAGGGAGGAAGAGAATTGGGATTCGGAAAGGCCCGTTGGTGGGGAAGAGGGGAGCRGGATGGTACCTGCATTGCTTTAATGCAACCTAAAGGAAAGAGATGTAAAGGAAAGAAGAACTCAAAAGTGCATGGGGTAGAGYTCTCCTCCTCTTCCCTTCTCTACTTTTCTCCTCCTATCTTAAATGCTTCATAATTTATTTTTAAAAACTTGTCTTAGGTGGGAGAGAAGAGAGCTAGGTAAAAATGACCCTTATTTTTTTTAGCTCTCTGCACTAGYGAAGCTAATAAAAAACGTAGAAAACAGTCATTCCTTTTTATCCTGAGGCTTCAGCTCAATACCACAGTCTCAATTTCCTGCCTTAAATTTCTGTGTTGTAGTTTTGAAATGTTAAAAACAACTTATGTTGTAAAAGAAAACAAAAACCACCACCAACAAAAACAATTTTTTTTCCTGTTCTGCCATATAAATAGTATTCCATGCTGGTAAATATTAAATGCTTATATTGCAGAGAGAGGAACCAAGTGGAGAGCATCTGTTGTGTTCCCACCACAGTACGGAGCTGTTCATTAGTGGGAGCAGAGCTATTTTATGCCCTGCGTGATGCTGTGTTTTTCTTATTCACAAAAAAAGRCAAAATCTCACTATAAGAAACCTCTAACTATTTGGAACAGACACTTTCATCTCGTAGATTTTGGCTTTTGGAGCAGAGCTAAATGAATTTCAGACAAGGCATTTATTGGTTGTGACGCCAAACGTCTTTCCAGCCACGGACTTTTCAGACTGGAGAAAGATTCTGAGGCCAGAAGGGAATGAAGATGACTTCAGAAAGAGGTCTGTGCACCTTGCCTTCGTTAGCAATGGATAAAATAAATAYAGGGACTTCTGGGAAGGTGAAAAAACTTGGGGATTTTGCCTACTGAGTACTAGAAATTCTGTGTACCGCTTCAAATTGAGCAGGTAATGATGTCTGCAAAAATAGCATCACTTCTGACCTGCACAACCTATTGATTTCTGTAGCATTTCCTACTACTTCCAGCCTTTCTTGCAAGTTTATCTAGCTTTGCAAATGGGAGTGTACATATAGCAGCGATTTCCTTGGAAAGTGTAGTAATGAACAATTAAATGAATGATCATTTACATTATTTATGGAGAGGAGTCAACCTGTTAGGAATTTCATTCTGTGTCTGTGCTCTTTTCCACAGCGTGGGGCAGGTCACGGTCCCTTTATCCATTTTCCTTGTGGCTGTTACCACAGCTTTTAAACCACACTGGATTTAAAAGTCCTGTGTCCAGCTGTGCTGCACTCCCCGCTCTTCCTGCCCCTGCTCTGTYCTTTTTCCCCCCATTCCTGCTGATTCTTATAATCCCGGAGGATTTCCTTTCTCCTTCAGGCCTTTAATCCCAGCCCAGCAAGGAGAGGAGGCAACGTGCTCCGTTTCAGCCGCCGGCGGTTGTACCGGGAGCGTCAGGTAGCGCACACCCGCACGCGCCCCTCGCCGCGCACACCCGCTGCCGCTTGTTGCCGCCGAGCACGGCAGATAAGAGCGCGGCGCCGTGCCCCACCTCGCAGGTGGTCCGAGAAAAATAATTAGAATAATAGCTGGAATAAATCAAGGGCTCAGCGGGGATAATGGAATTGTTAGCAGAGCAGACACCTCATCCTGCGGAACGCGATAAACATTCAGCTTTGCTGCTGGAGCACGAGAGAGAGGAGGTGACTCTAGGGGTAAATGGTTGGGAGGATTCATGAATCACACTTGCCAACAGGGCTACCAAGCAGAACTTCAGGATTTAAGCAAAAGCCTTAGGAGGCCAAAGAATTCCCAGGGCACTATTGCTAATTCCTTGTTCTGTTTCTGCAGAGCCGCTAAGCAGCAATAGCACAAGCAAACTGTAGCTGTTCTAGTGTAAAACATATTAAGCAAGTAACGTTTATTAATGGAGAAGATATCGCTGTGTTTGCCTCATTTATTTTTTCTGTAGTCTTTGTCTAAGCTTGATTTACTGCAGCCATTCCCCCTTGGTCCTGCACGAGGGGTGACTGCAGACCCACCTCAAACAGCTTCAGAGACCTTCCTCAAAAGGGGATAGATGGAATAAGTGCAGGACGCAGCAAATGAAAAGGGAGCAGGGAGGAGGTTCGAAGTTTTGAGTGTGGGAAGTGTCTGGAAGTGCCACCGTCAGGCTCTGCCAGATCCGAAGGGATTGGATGGTTGAGGTTTGAAGGGGCCTCTAGGGATCACCCAATCCAGCCCCACTGCTCCAGCAGGGACACCCAGAGCACGGGGCACCCGGGCGCATCCCRGCGCGCTGGCAGATCTGCAGAGCAGGAGCCTCCGCAGCCTCCCTGGGCAGCCTGGGCCAGGGCTCGGGCACCCTCCCACCAAACAAGTTCTTCCTCACGGCCACATGGAGCTGCCTGCGCTGCAACCTGCACCCASTGCSCCCTGTCCTCATGATCCAAGCTTAAGCTGCTGCCTCCTCTGGGATGGTGACCACGGGAGGGGTAAGAATAACATCAGAGTTACACGATAGATCGTTGAGCTCTCCTGCCTCACAGAAATGTATTTGCTGGTGGTATAAGACCTGATGTGCAGTTRTTTCACCCCAGCTGTAAATGCAGAGTTGCTTTTCCTGAGGGTTTTCATTTTTATTGAGGAGCTGAATCGCATAATGAAATTAATATATTACAGCTCTATCAAGAGCTTTTAATAACTGCAATAAATGATGATTAAACTGCTGATCTACATTGATTTTTACTCTTTGGGGAAGACTATTATCTGTGTTTTTAAATCCAT